ATGACTGGAAGGCAAATACAGGACATTGTTCCCATTCAGAAATCAGCTGCAAAGAAGGAAGAGGTATTAGAATGAGTTACTGGCCAGGAATTGGTATGTTTACCTCATGAAGCTGTCCTTGCAAAATGCCCTGATGTGTATTTAAAGCCATACCATAGGAAGAGCAAATATTTGTTTCTAGCGGCTCTCTTAAAAATACTTAAAATATTTGTAATATTGAATCTAAAATATCAGTGCATTTTACTTTGAATTACTTTTTGTCCATCAAATCAAAATCCTTAATGAACTGTTCAATAATAAAATCCAAAAAGTTTTGTGTTTAATTAGCATGCCAGCTATTCCTTCCCTGAAGAAAAAACTGCATTTCAAATATCTTTTCAGTTGCTATCAAGCGCTCTTACAAAGTTAATTTCCAACAGTGAAAGGAGGAAAAACTTGTCTAATTAAACTAGTTCATATTTCTGTACTGCAATAGGAAAAGTCAAATAAAATAAACCACAGGTACTTGCCTAAATAAGGGAAAGTATTTCTTTATGTAACTCCAGTGTTTGATATTTATCTGCTTATTGCTGACTTGTTTTATCTGATTAAGATTTTGTTGTAACTCAGCATTGCACAACTATTTCACCTTTCGCGCTTTGTAGACTTGGGATGCAGCTTTGGCACAGACTGCAAGGACATAGACAAATGGATGCATTTTTGAGCATAACATATACTTAAGTAAGAAACTTCTGTACCATCCTAATTTCACATCTGTTGGAGAGAATACTTGGATTGGAAGTCATGAAGTTTTTGATGTTGCTGATGCCATTAATTTGGTATGGTGAGGTCAGATTTTAATTTGTGTAGTGCAGAACTGTACTAAGGTTTGTGGTTGTTTCATTCAAGTAAGAGTTGTCTGTGGTAAAATGTCCTGGGTAGTGCCTACCATATAAATCAGTACCATCTGTAAATAACACAGAGGTGTCCATATGGGTGCAACTGGTGCCTCACTGTCTTTTTTAACATCAAGCAATGACTGTACTGCCTTACCCCTGCACTGCCTCACCTCAGTACCTTGGACAAAATTCTCTCTTCTTTTCCACACATTGACCTCACTGAAAGCCTCACTTCTCATTTCACTGCATGATTGCTACATGAACTTTATAAAATAATAATTTCCAGTTCTCTAGTTACCAAGCCACACAGTTCAGTATTCTATAATTCTGGAGATGCCATTCAAAGTAATCACAGTAATTGCAGAATGTCTGTGGGTATTACTTAGTAAAAATGTCAATAGAAGGATAAAATCCAGCCAAAGTAATTTTTTTCCTTACAATTCTCATAAAAAAGAAAAGGAAAAAAATCGACATCAAAATTTATTATATTCCAATTTCTCAGTAGTAATTCAGAGAAACTTAATGCTGCTGAGAAAGTAAAGGTTTCTTTTGAACATTGAATATTTTAAGTGTAATTTTTCATTCCCATTTTGAAAAAATAAGCTTTGCAATAGATTCAGTTTTATCTATGAGCAAATACATGATACTTCACTGATCTAAAACAGATGATAATTTTAATGTCAAGTAGATCTTATCTAGTAAAAGTAGCTCTTCAATTTCTTATCTCAGTGTTCAAAGATGCTTGGACTGCTCTCCGTGTAAATTACAGAGGAAAATACTGTGCTACCACTGTGTTACCAGACACAATGGTATCTACAAGATTATTTTTTAGTAAGCTTTGGATTGTGAAATGAAAATACCAAAAGTTACTAGAATCATTTGTAGAGCATTTTCCTTTCACTTCTTTTTGTCTTTTCTCGCTTATTTCTCTTCAAGTGTTAATTCTTGTTTTCTGCCCCTGGTTCTGCCTATAACAAAACCAAAAGCAAGGCTGGAGGATTTAAGTTTTGTTGTTTATTTAGAAGGCTAGAAGTAGACAGTATCATAGGAAAGTGTTTTTCATTATTTCTGTGGCACAATAAATTATGAAAAGTTACCTAGCAAGGTAGTTTTTACATTTAAATAATTGCAATTCAACCTTGTCTGCATAAAATTCTGGAGGGTTTTGCACATTTCTCTTAGACTGATGTTCACATCTCAACTTTCTTTCCCTTGATTGTTTGCTTCTTTCCTGTTATACACAGTTAAGTCATATCCAAACGTTCATGCATTTCAGGCAACATTTCAGGGAAAATTACAAAGGAAACTAATCACCAGAAAAAACAAGCAGTGTACATGGGTTAACACTGTGGACATCAGAATTGATAATCGAAACCATGCATGATCCAGGAGCAGTCGTGTTTTTGAAGACTCAGACACAAAATTGAAAATGGGTAAAATTTATGACCCATAAATGGATGGGCTGTGGAGACCTGTTAAGAGAGCCACAACACTGGGATCTCAAGATGGTAGAAATCTCAAAAATGTATGTGAGGCTATTACATAAAGGCCTCTGAAATGCTTAGTCCTTAACCCAGTATTAAGGTAACAGCACTTAAAATATTAAGATCCTTTTCAAAAAAATGGTTCTGTTTGATGAACACAACAGCTTCTTTCATTTATAATTGAAGAGAGAAAACTTTTGGGAATGTTCGAGTCAGTTTGTCTGCCTGAGACCTGTACAATTCCTACTGGAGAGATACTCCCATACTGACTAGAGCTACTATGTCTGCATGGCTTCCAGAAATGGAATGTATGATCATTCAGGTGTTCTAGGTATAGAATTAAACATTTTTACCTGAATTCAATACAGTTTGGTTAGTCATGTGCAGAAGGTATTGGAGGAATCTCCTAAGAAAAAGCAGATGCCTCGACTATAATGCCTGTCTTCTCTTAAGTTTGGCAGGTAAAGCTTTTTGGTCTAAAAATTTGCAGTGCCAAGGCTTTTGCACTTAAGTTTACAGGAGTAGTCATCCAGATAACTTCAAAATTACAGTAAAACTATCTGCAGTCCAGCCACATACTAATGGCCTCCTCTGTTAATTGTAAAACTGTTTAGAGCCTCATTATTACAAAATAATTTTAGGATTGTTTAGCTTTTAATGAACATAAAATGGTGTCTTACAGAATAATTCTTGTGGAATTTCAATACCACCACTGTCCTGTCCCATAATCTGTTTTCTGCCCTGAGGTGCCATTGTGTAATAGCAGCAGCAATGCATGTCAGAATATTGGTTTATTCAAAGGTCTGGAAGACCAAGTGATCTTGCAGCTGCCTAATCCTGTGGATGGAATAAGAAAACCCAGCAGACCCACCCCATTTGTTCAAATGAACCTAGTAAGTCAAGGTCAGACCTTCTCTCCCAAACAAAAGGAACAATACTGTGGGGAAGTTGATGACTTGAGAACAAAATTAAATGTAATTTCACAGACTCCCAGGCATTGTGGATATCTGTAATAGGCTGTAATTCACCAGTTTTTAGTCCTCTAGCTAAATAGAACATTAGAGAAAAATTAAAAATCTGAGATTTTGTTTTTCCAGCCATTTTGAACTAAAAGCATGTCCAAAGTGCAAAAGTGGGATGTAAACATGGGGGATTTTTCAAAATTATGAGGCTGTAAATCTTCTTGCATGTTTCCAGCTCATGGTTCTAAATTTCACTTGAGATCTGTGGGTAGGCAATGGCTTGTATTGTCCAGACTGTGCTATCCAAATGTGCTATAATGCTATAATGTGCAATTCAAATCCCAAAACTTAATAGTTGAGATCCACTGCTTAATGCTGGCAAACGTCTAAAACTCTATTGGGAAAATACCATAGATGCTCGGGGGCAGGCTGAATTTCTGCTTTAATTATAGATAGAGTCACTAGATGGAGCCAGAAATGCAAGAAAGCATTTTATAACCTGGACTATCCTGGGCCCATCAAAATTTCCTACTGCATAAAATCTCCATTCATTTTCCAAACACAGAATTTCAACTGCATGCATATATAAGTGCAAGATCACTGTACTGTTATATGGTGCAGTTTTAGTGTTTTTGTGCAAACTTCATGTAGTTGTAATATAATCATAGTTCACATTAAGTCTGACCAGCAAAACTAAGCAGGGAATGAGATCCATTAACATTTCGCAATCTATTTGCAACAAATTTTCCCTGTAAACCTACCTAAAACTAGGTTACAAGACCATAGCTCTTAAAACATATGGTTCTTCTTATGCTCTTGCATATTTGTACAGTTTGGCTTAGGTTTGAAAAAAAAATTCAGCCAGCTTGTAGAACAGTTGGGGAGACAATACAAATGCCAACACATACCATCCTACTGCCCTGAGAAGTGATCAGACTTGGAATGTTATGCCAGGAGTGCTAATCCTGTAGCTGCTCTCCAGGAGCACAGGAAGCTGCTCCAGTGATTTCAGGCCAGCAGGTAATAGCAAATAACTAAGGAGGAGAGAATCAACACATACTCAAGCCTGGGATTTCCAAATTTTATTTTTTGTTACACGCCAAACCAGGCCAGAATGTCTGTTCTGCAGCAGGGTGCTGTTCAGGAACCATTTTTTTCCTCCTGCTGAAGCACAGATTTCCTAATTCTGTTTATTTCTTGAGTAATTCTGATGTGGAACCAATGTCCTGCAGCATAATTGTAACTAAGCTGGTATGACTAAGCAATACTATTGGAAAATCAGCTGAATAGCAGATTTCTGTTTTGTAAAAGCTGCATTTTTTATGATTGATGCAGTTTTTAAGAAAGCTGTTCAGCAGCATCTCTTCAGATAAGACAAAAAATCACAGAATGGTTTGGCAGTCACCCAGGATGGAGCACACTCAAAGAAAAGACAGAAGTATGCTCGGAGTGTTGCTCCTTGCTGATATGCATGGCAGGTTTCACGCTTTACCTTTGACTGCCAGCTATGATGTCAGATAGAGTTGTACCTGATTAAGCAATTGCTCTTCACTTCCTGTTTGACACTTTCAAGTGCTTCCACACCCAGAGGACAGCCTCCGAAAAACTGCTTGCCGGTATCATCTCCACCTAAGAGATTTTTCATTTTAAAACTTATGAAAAAACACTGGTGAATTATGAGAATCACATTTTTCTTTGCTGTATTGCTCTTACTGGATTTCTTCAGTTGCATTCATGCTTATCTGCAATATCCCTTGCCTGACATAGAAGATGCAAAGTTCATTGCAGATTGTGTGAGAGCTCACAACGCATTTCGATCCAAAGTGAATCCACCAGCCAGCAATATGTTTCGCATGGTAAGGTAGGGTTTGTGACCTTTTTGAAATTATTATAGATTGGGCTGCTAATTTAGCCCACCTTATTCTTCATTTCTACTCTGATATTCTTTCCACTTCAGTTAATGATTTCTGTAACATGTATGTTGGTTCTTTGTATGAAATAGAAATTACATTCATTAGCACGGTATTGTTCAATTTTTAGTAATTTGAAGGGAATTTCTTTTTTTAGCACAAGATTTAGCTACTCTCAACTTCAGTCAGAGCAAAGGGTGTATTGCAAAAAATAGTGTTCAGTTCTCAGTATGTCATCTACCTCTTTCTAAGAGAGATAGTAATCTGGTTTATATCAGGTCAGGTTTCATACATGGAAGCTGTTTGACTTTTTAAAGTTTCTGAGTAGGCGGTCTGCAACAGGATTTGTTGAAAATCTATCATCTCTTCTTGTTTCTTCTAATCTAGAACATGTGTTGAATAAAGGGATTTTCCAGGACAGCCATTTAGATACCTGATCTTCATTTGCTGTAGCAGGGTTTGAAGAGTAGGGATAGTAATATCTAGGCTGAAAAGAAGAACTTGCTACAAATACAGCGAATATCAGAACAGGTTATGGGTAAGTCGCATGTTGTTCAGTGGAATACGTAAGGAAAGATGCGTATAGCTAGCTGAGGGAGGTAACCCCAGCCAGTGCATGTCAGTTCTCTGAGCCCTCCAGCAGCACTGCATATCTGGAAAGGAAGTTAAATGCATAACCACATGCAGAGTATGAATCATTTCTGCAAAAGGAAACTCACAGTAAAGGAATGAGATTCAGAGTACCGGGGACTTTAATTCCTGCCATGTTAAAAACAATGTTTAATGTAAAAAAGCTAGTGCAAAAGAGTAAACTTACCTGCTCAGAACAAAGGCCCAGCAATTCTGGAATAACAGCAGGACAAATATATTTAAACCTCTTGAATCAAAGGTGTACTTGCAAGGTGTACCAATCACGGTACTTACAAGCTCTTAATGGATTTTTTTTTATTATTTTTTTTTCAGCCTTGAGGTCATAAAAGTTTCTATAATTTCTATCATCTCATGGCAAAGGGCTGCAGAGACTAACCACAGGTTGTGTGAAGCTATTTTCTTGTGTTTGATTTGGGTCTGTTAATGCCTAGCTTCACTTAATAGTGTCTGGTCTTTGTATTGGAAGACACAAGTTGATGCTTCTTATTTACTATTTCACACAAGATGTCCAGATGTCTCTGAAGCTGCAGAGCATTCTCATTGCTATATGAAAGCTCTCTGAACTTGAATATGATCAGCCTATTCCAAGTTCTCTCTGGCCTTCCTAGTTCTAGTGTACCTTTCCTGTGGTGGGGTGCTGTGCTACACCCAGCATTTAACAGGACTTCTGTTGTGCAGAAGTGTGATTATTTGTGTGGTTTTATTCTCCATTCCTTTGCAAAGAGTTTTAATACTTTGTTTGCTTTTTAGTCTACTACTTTCAAGTGGTAATAGCCATCTCCAAACCTGTTATTAGGAACATGAACTCAATTTTTTTTCACATCCCTTAACTTGAATTTCCCTGTATACCTGTCAACGTAAAATCTGCAAGTCTGCCAGACTGGTTTGTATGGGAGCAGAGATGAGTTAGTCTTTTATTTGCTTTGTCCATCTGTTGAGGAGGGAAAAGAGGCAGAAGGAGCCGAGGAAGGGAACAGCTGTGACTCTTCCTTCTGTCCTGGACAGCAGAACAGAATTCCTGTCTGGTCTGGTAATAATTGAATTGCCAAGTGCAAATCCCTGAACAGCCAACATCTCCAAGGCACAAAGTCCCCCAAGACCCTCTACAGCTGGAAGTTTCACACAGTTACCCCCTCCAGGTGTAGCAGCTTAAAGATTGCACTGCAGCTGTAAATATATTAACAAGTCAGATACAACAGGACAGTGGAGAGATCGTGCATGTCCTGCAATAGCTAAGGGAGAAAGAAGACAGAAAATTCTTATGGGAGTAGAAATGTCAAGTGAGATAAAAACTGAAGGCAGGGATAGGAAGCAGAAAAGGGGAAATGAACTCGTTTAAGTTTCTGTTTAAAAATGTCTGAATTCAGCTAAGTCACTGCAGTGCAGGTTATAGTATGTTTTCTTCCTTTTCTACAGTCCTGGGATGCTGCTTTAGCTAAGAGTGCCAAAGCATGGGCAAAGAAGTGCAAGTTTAAGCACAATACCTACCTTAAAATGCCAGGAAAAATGCACCCCACCTTTCACTTTGTTGGAGAGAACATCTGGACTGGCACAGCCCGCATCTTCTCTGTGGAGGCAGCTCTCAGGTCCTGGTTTAATGAAGTCAGCAGCTATGATTTCAGCACCAACATATGTACTAACATGTGTGGTCACTACACTCAGGTGAGTCTTACATGCCCAGTGCTTTATAGTCTAACATATAGTCTAATATATAGATATAGTCTAATTTCACTGAAGATCTGAGCACAGGCTTGGAACAGATTGCTTTGGGACAGTAATTACAGCAGGGCTTTGCAGCCCACAGTTTATTGTTGCATGAGATTGGAAATAAATATGAGCCCCAGGGATCTCAAGTTCTACTTCCAGTAATGGTGGAAAGGGATTGTCCCCTAGCAATTTCACATTTAAAGGGTAGCCAGATAATAAGTGAAAAAATGGCTGTCAAATCTGTCATTTGTCACAGCTGCCCTTCAGGTTAAGTTGCTCCTGTGTCAGCTGATTTAAATTTCCCTGAGCTACTTCCCTTCTCCTTCTCTTAATGCTGTTGCTTTGGCAGTATTTGAAGTGCATTTTGTACTTCCCTTTGTCCTGCAGGTGGTCTGGGCAGAGAGTTACAAAGTTGGCTGTGCAGTTCACTTCTGCAGTACAGTTGAAAATTTTCCAGGACTGTTCGAAGCAGCACATTTTGTTTGTGACTATGGGCCAGCGTAAGTTGATTGTGGCATTTGGGTTTTGTTTTGTTTGTTGTTTTTTCTGTTGTTTTTTTTTCTTTAAATATCCCAACTGATATTTGATCAGCTGCCAACAATGATGGGTGCAGTTTTAACAAATTTCAAAATAAGCTACATCCTCATGTCACTTGTCCAAGGGAAACTTCCCCTGACCATTGGGAACAGAACCTACTGGACATAGCTAGTACTGCAGAAAATCCCATTCTAAAACAAAGCAGAACAGCATATCATAGCTGACACCACTCACCATAATGCAGATGGTGGGAGAAAATCTATAATAACTTCAGTCTCTGCAGGAAAATTGGGAAAGATGTAATCTTTCTGCTTCCAAAAGATTACATCTTTCTCTGGCCCTACACAAATTTCAAACAAGACATTGTAATTTAAGAAGTAAAAGGAAGACAGTCCCCTAGTTGATCTGGTACCTTGCAGTATTTCTACTTACTTTTGACAGGTTTGTTTTTTATAATCAGGTGGGTAATGATGGGCTAGAGTCAAATTCTTGTATGCTTACAATAATACAGTATTGCCTGAGAAGTATCATTAATTTCCAGTGGCAGGAGTCAACTGCTCCCCATGCCAGTGAGAGCTCTAATGTGATTTAAAAGGAATTTCAAACAATTGCAATGACCAGTTTTTTGATTAGGATATTCCCTCCCCTTGACAGCTTTTCAATGACAGCTAAAAAAGTACTGTTCCTGTTTTGCAGGGGGAATTACCCAAGAAAACCATATAAAGAAGGACAACCATGCAGTAGATGCAGTAACGAGAAGTGTGTAGACAGGCTCTGTGGTAAGACCAAAGTGATCATGTAAGAAAATTGCACAGAAACAAAAGTGGCATAAATAGCAGTGGAAAGACAACAAAGAGGCAATTTGCACAAAACACATTTTTATTTGCTTTTTAGTCTACTACTTTAGTTTACTTTTTAGTCTACGCATGATAAACACACCATGCAACAACAGTACCAAACTCTGGGAGGAATACTGTAAGAAGGAAATCATTGAAATAATTTGCATTTTGAAGTCTCTCAGAGGAAGAAGCCAGAGTTTCTGATGAAGGGAAGTATCAGTTAGACTATTTTCTCCCTTTTATCTGGTCAGTAAGTCAAATCCAAAATTTTAGCCCCAACAAATATTCACTATTTCTTCTCTCTCAGCAGAAACAGGAAATGTATCTTCTGCTTTTTTGCTTGTTAGCGTGTCCTAACACATTTTCCAGACAACTGTATTTCAGAGCTAATAATAAGACTGTACTAAAAACCACAGTTATTTCTAACTTCCACAGTTTTCTGAAAAACAGCAGTAAGAGCTTGTTTGTAAATCTTTCTCCTACTATGCTCAGTGTTATCAGAGTGCTGGTGGAAAGTAATTAAATGAACAGTTGTAACTGGAAGGCTCAGGGGATGAGAGGATTTTAATCAAATCTCGAGGAGCAATTAATAAAGGACTGGTAACCCCTTTGGAGCAGGCCTGTGGCAGCTGTGGGATCTTTGGCCAGTGCTGGGAGCCAGTGCAGAGCTGAGCCAGCACAGCCCACTCCCAAACCCTGCAAAGATGCAACAATGAAAGGAGTGTGGTTGGAGTAAAAACCTCTCTGGGGAGGAGGTGTTCCCTGCAAATGTGCTGCCTGGGTCTGGGAGAGAAGTGGGTGATGGTGAGGGGCTCAGCTTGCTCCCTCCTCCTTGCCTCCCCTCTAATGAGGCAGAGAGACTCTGTGCTGGGTCTGTCTCTTTGTGTCAGGGGGTGGGCGCAGCAGGGAAACACACAGCCCGTACCCCATCACTGAGTCTGCTCCAAACAGCAGTGGACCTTTAGTCAATTCACCTTATTAAAAACACTGCCTAGTTTGGGACTTAGTAATTAAAGGAGATGCAGCAATGTCTTAAATCAAATATTAATTTTATACAGAGGTTTAATGGGGATGGTTTTTACTAGCCAGGCTCTAGACAGATTCAGCTGTAGAAATTATTGAGCATTTGGTGTTCTTATTTCCTTCTGTAATATCCTGGCTGACTCATCTGAAAGTCTCAGACTGACACATCACAGGAAAACTAGAAATATCTCAATGACTAGGGGGAACAGGGACAGGAGGAACAGAGAATTTAAAAGTTAAGTGCTAGATCCTACCACCTGCTTTTGCCATCTTCTCCTATAGAGCAAATGAGGAATTTCAATAGGATGCACATAGGAAATCCTGCAAATGCATCAAAATTTTAGTAAAGGCATAATTCTGTGATAAATAAGTAGTTATATTTGTCTGTCTGTAACTACTTAAATTTGATATATGTAACTATTTTAAATAAGTTCCATGTTTTGTTGTTATTTTTTATTCCTTCATCTCCATAACACAAATGCTTCCTGATACAGCTGTTTTTTTCTGTTTCTTTTTCAATTCAATAAAAAATACGAACTCCACACCAGTTAGGAGCCTGCTCTTGCTGGCCTGCTTCCCCCTTGCAGGATGTTCTAGGCATTAACTGGCATCATCAGTGCAAAGGCTTGCCTCTTTACATCAAGAACCACCACTGAATGGTACTCACATTACTTTCCTCTTCTGATCTCTTTGCAGAAAATACAGAACGTGAGAAGCTGATAAGTACGTATCAAATTGTTCTTAATGGCTTTCCTGTAAGTATGGCTAAGACTAGGTCTCAACACCTGTTTCTTCACTGACTTTTAGGTTATGCCAACTGGTATCCAGACTGGGATATACAGCCCCAGCCACCGCAGCCCCGTCCCCCCAGGCCTCCCGTGCCACCACACGTCCCACCTGCTGAGCATCCACGACCCTCTTGTGACCAATACTGTCTTAGTGTTTTAATTTTAAGGCCACTGTTTCTTGTATTGAGTTTTGGTGCTGTACTTCTAGTACAACAGCAATTTCCACACACTTTTTTTTATGAGTAATGGTCAATTAAGAGACTGATTGTGATCCTACTGCTGTATTACTCTCACACATTGAGCACATGTTTAAAAAAAAAAAAACATTTTATCATCTTTCATTATCCCTGCAATCCAGCATGGGAAAGGCTGCTTCTTTACTCAAGGCAAGATAAAAATGGCTGTGCATAGAGGTAATACAATTTATTGGCAGTAGCTGCAACATGCTCCTATGTATGAGGCTCTTAGCTCTAGGGGTAGTTGCTAGAGGGACCACAGAGACTAGATATTCCTCCATGTGCTAACAATCCTCCTGGAAGCCTGGGGCATCACAAAGACATGTCTGAAGTGGCACACTGTATCCAAAAGAAGCAATAATTCATCTTCATTAACCTTCAGTTATCCCAGACACAATTTCCCCCAAGTAATGGAGATTTAACTGTATATATTACTTTTTATTAACAAGAGTAAAGCTTGGCCTTTGCTTTATTTATGTGTTTCAGTGTCCATTCTCTATTGTCAGTTGTACTAGTCCATTCTTCTCCTCTCAGGATTAATCCTTGTTCTCCATAAGTAGAAGAATACCAGGGAAAATTGACAGAGTAAGGATTAAGGTGGGGTGTCAATGGGGAAACCTTAATTTTAGGATGTGAGATAGCGAAAATATCTAAAATGAGAGTAGATGGCAGCCATCGTGAGTTTTCAGGTAGCAGGAAACAGAGACAGAAGATGAAATGGGCCCAGGACAGATTCTGGTTTAGCAATGGAACATCCCAGCCTCATTTAAAAAGCCCAAACCTCTGATGGATTCAGTTTGTTTTAATAGACATTTAGCCCTCAACCTGACCCCCACTGTTCCAATATAAGTTTGTTAGTGAGGGGAATCTTTCAAGCTAGGAGATACTGACTTATATTAGCAATGCATAACTGTGGTATCAATATTTAAAGCTGTTTTTTGCTCTTTTGTCTTTGTTCTAATATTTTAAGAACACAGACTCAAATTCTGAGCCATATTGCAGCATGCCATCCCACAGAATAAAAATGGGCCCCAACTGAGGCTCTTGTTAATAGATCCCTTGGGGTGGATTAGAGTGAAATGACACTGAATGACCAGTATATAAATAAATAAAGAAATAAATAAGGCAGCTTTATTTTATAACAGTTTGGTTGTAGTGGAAAGGAAGAAAACATATAAGGAAAAGAAAGAGCAAAAGCAACAGCTTTAACAGCATCTAGTTTCATCAAAAGAAGAAAATTTATCCAAAACTTTTTGGCAATACATAGTGATTGCTATGAATAGCATTACAGGGGCCAAACAAATAGTAACAAAGAAGCCTAAAGGACAGGAGAGACATTTGCCCACCACAATTAAAGAAAGAAGAAAAAAAGAAAGGGATAAGGCTGCTACAGCTCTAATGTGATCTTGTAGTTCAATTTCCTTATTCTCATAGTAGTGTTCTTGAAATATGACTCGTTTCCTGTGACTAGCTTTGTATTCAATTACCATGGCTAAGGTAAGTCCAGCCCACAAATCTTCCGAGCAAAATGCTGCTGGTTGACCTAAAACCACTTCGTTCAGCTGAAACAGTCTGCTTTTAAAGCTGGAAGACCAGACGTTGAGAAGCATGACTGTAAGGAAAGGGCTAATGACATTCGCAGTGCATGCCTTAAGCAAGTGCTCGGTGACGGAACTGGTTGAAGAAAACTTCCTTGATGCCTGTGCACAAACCGCAGAGATTAACCGACTTTCGGCGCCAGCCCTGCGGGGGCAGGACCGACACCGATGCTTTTTCCCGGCGGCGTTCCATTGCGGTGTGTTGTACAGAGAGTGAGTAGCAGCACAAGCACAGGCAGCGGGCTCTCCGAAGGACACTGGACTTTGTGGGGTTCGCCCCGTTCGGCCCCGCAGCAGCCGCGGCCCACGCCCCGGCACCCCCGGCGTGCGCAGCGGCCGCGCTGAGGGCCAGGCCACGCCCAGCCGCCCTCAGGCTGACGAGGGGCTCTATAAATACAGGCAACCGGGCACTGAGACCGCCGGATTTCAGCACCACCAGCTCGGGACGTCTAGGGATGCTCCTAGATCCACCGTGGTGACTTTCTGCTTGCACCATCTCTCTTCTTCTCCCTTCTCAATGACAGGCAGATTTTCTACTTGTGCGCTGGCTTTACTACTCTTTTGTTATTCCTCTGATTCTTATAATCCATCGACATTGCCTGATCCTCGGGATCCAGAGTTTATTAAGCAATGTGTGCAAACCCACAACACGTTGCGGTCCAGAGTGGATCCACCAGCCAGCAACATGCTCTGGATGGTAAGGGAATCTTCATGACTTACGTACAAATTTGTAGCATTGTGATGCTGTTTATGATTCTCAAAGATTGCTTTTGTGATCAAATGCAAAAAATCAGAAAACAACCCCACAAAAACCTGGGGTCATAAGACTGACCGCTTTTCAAAGCAGAGAAAAGAAGGCTGTAATTATCGGGTGGGATATGTGCAGTTTAGGTGTGACTGAAATTCCTCACCCGCAGCCGAAGATGCCCGCCCTCAGCCCAGCCGTGTTGCTGGGCTGTGTTGTGTGAGGAGCCTCTGGTTGCGAGGCGCCACACGCAGCTCGGCAGCCGTGGGTGCGGGGTTTGTGCACCTCTAAGCACAACTTTCCTGCTCCAGTCGGCGAGGGCAGATCCTGTTGCCAAACAGCGTCGGAGAGCTTTCTCTGGGCATTCCCTGCAGGGCTCTCACGGACTGAGCCAGCAGGGCGGCAGCTCCGAGGGGCTGGGCCTGCAGGGAAAGCCAGAAAGCACCAAGTTCATTTTCCGTGTCTGGTTATCAGACACTAAAAGGTAAGTGCCCCACTTAGGAGGGGTAACCGCACAGTAATAAAACTTGAATTGCAAACATGACAGGAAACTTACTTAGTTTCGCTTCTAGATGCATTTTTTAGATCAGCTCTCCTCAGCTGTGCATTCTGGCCTTCAGAACATGTTCCTTCGACTCTGTATTTTCTACATTGCTTTACTGGCCCTAAGCAAACAAAATATTGTTAGGATGTGTTAAAAGTGCAGTGTTTGTATTTTTAAATTGTGCTTAATTTCTTCTTTTGAAAAAGTAAAGAACTGAAATCTGAAAAAAAAAAAAAGAAAGCATAAGAAACAGACAAATAAATTGCATCTAAACCAGGAACTGAACCATGGCAAGTTTCTTTCAAAATACTGCAAAATCCCTAGCCTTAAATATGACCTCTTACAGGAACTATTTAATGTGGAGGTAGCAGTGCAATACATGATAAAATCTATTACAAAACTAAAAGCATTAGAACTGAAAACAGTATTTTGAGTGGCCCTTTGCACTTAAAAAAGGCAGAAAATAAGATGGTGCTTTTATTTCACAAGGAGCTTCTTTTTTGCTGGAAGTAAATGTCCACCTAGATATGTCAAAATTAAGATTGAATTCAGGACATTCTCATATTTTGGAAAAGTAGTTTTTAAAAGAAAATGCAAAATAGAAACTCCTTTAATTGCAAGTAACAAAGCTCAACCATTGGTATTTGTAATACATGTATTATAAAATGAGAATGTTGATCTAAAATTTTTTTACCTGACAAATGTGAGCCCTTTCTCATCCACCCAAAGCACTACTTAGTTCTGTTCTAAGGCTCCTCAAAAACAGCAGAGTCTCACCAGTTTCATCAGGGCTTTGTAACAGTCTCCTTTGAATTAGTGCTGCCTTACATCACTTTTCACATATTATGCATTAAATTTTTCCTCTTTAAGTCAGAAAGCAACTTGTTATAAAATGAAAACTGAGAAGCAGTTAATGAGGGGGGGAAAAAAGTAAGTATTTTTTCCTTAAACAGCAGTGATATCTATATGCAAATCTCCCTGTCCTGTGAATTTTCTTCGCATGCCATTCAGTCCAATCTTTCTGTTTAAGCGCAGTATTATAAGCAAATATGGAGTGTAACTGCAGTTAAACTAAAAATCATTGTGAACATTTCGGTACACTGCTTTTCATCTGTCAGCCAGATTAAGTATTCACACAAAATGGAAAGTATATTTAAACTTACTATGCAACTTTGAACTTAGTATTATTCATACCTTTATCAAAGTTTAAACCTATTACTACTATAGGATGAGGGGAGGAGGTGCATGGACTCTTAAAAAGCAGAATGTGAAAAAAAAAAAGACCATGAAATGCAAAGGTGCGTCCCCCCGTCGTACTTCTCTCATAATGATCATCTCAGAGCCTTGACAAGATGTAAAATGAAAGCTTCTGTCTTAACTGTCAGAGTTATCTTCTAGGACTGGAAGACAAGTTCTGTACAATGCCAGATTTTATCCATTGTCCTGAAAAAGTATCTAAGGAAATACCAACTGCTTACTTGAAATAAGACTCCCTGCCCCAATTTTCATACTTGATGGACTGAGTTCCTATCTACATTATTTATGTCCTGGTTTTGTGGGTGTATTTGGTTTGCACAAACAGGTTTTGAAAGCAGAGGGGTCATACTGGGGTGGCTTCTCTGAGAAGCTGCCAGAAGCTTCCTGAATGTCCCACAGAGCCATTTCCCTGCTGCTGGCCAAGGCCAAATCCTTCAGCGACAGTGGCAGTGCCTCTAGGATATTTCATTCAAGAAGGGGAAAGGCTGTGCACAAGCAATTGCAGCCAGAGAAGAGTAAGAACATGTGAGAGGAGCAACTCTGCAGACACCAAGGTCAGGGCAGAAAGGGTGGGAGGAAGCACTCCAGGCACTGGAGCAGAGATTTCCCTGCAGCCTGTGGTGCAGCCCATGGTAAGGCAGGATGGGACCCTGCAGTCCATGGAGGTCCATGGAGGAACAGAGATCCACCTGCAGCCTGGGGAGGACCCACACTGGGGCAGGTGGAGGCCTGGAGGGGGCTGTGACCCTGTGGGAAGCCTGTGCTGGAGCAGGGTCCTGGCAGGAGCTGTGGCCCCATGGAGAGAGGAGCCCGCACTGAGCAGGTTTGCTGGCAGGACTGGTGACCCCATGGAGAAGCCACTGTGGAGCAGTGTGCTCCTGAAGGACTGCACCCTGAGGGAGGGACCATGCTGGAGCAGAAGAGCTGAAACCCTGGGAAGGACTTACATTTGGAAAGTTTGTGGAGACTGTCTCCTGTTGGAGGGACCCCACAAAGGAGCTGGAGAAGAGTGTGAGGAGTCCATCCCTGAGGAGGAGGGAGCAGGAGGGAGTGTTTGATGAAGAGAGCATAACCCCCAATTCATGTTCCCTTGTGCTGCTGGGAGGGAGGAGGAGGAAGTGGAAAATCATGAAGATTATCTTAGTGAAGTTATGTCCTGGAAGAAAGAAGAGGTGCGGGGAAGGTGTTTAAAATTGTAATAAATACAATTAATTTCCCCAAGCTGAATATGTTTTGCCCATGACAGTAACTGATGGATGATCTCTCTCTGTCTTATCTCAATCCAGGGGCCTTTGTTTGCATTTTCTCTCCCCTCCCCAGCTGAGGAG